ACTTCGAAGAATTTATTTCATCACTCGGCAAAAGTCTGCCTAAAAAATACAACACACAGACACTAATATCATCCAAGTCCCTGGGCTTTTACTTTATCAAAATAGTTGAATGAAAAGCAGTAACACTTCTGCCAAAAGTATCCATTCGATACTAATGCATTTTTTCCCCTCCAGTATGCTTTTCAAGAATCACACACTTATCCTGGTCTTATGTTTTTGTTCAATAAACAGGTTAACGTTAGAATGAGTTCTTAGTTGCCGCACGCACATCTACATTCAAACGCTTACGTTGTGGGGCGCCAGGCGCACTGTAGGCACGAAATTCTAAAACTTTACCAGGCCTGCAAACGCATTTGTTACTACGGGAACGCACCACATCTCACTGAAGTCCCTAAAAGAACCATTCTGTTTGTTTTAGGATACCTTATTCTGCCTACCTTGAGCAAGCTGTCACCTGTAAGACTTTGTATTGCTTTCAAAAGATGATGTAGCTGTAACATCAGTATCCAAAACGTTTCCGCAGAGAATCTTACATTTATGTACAAAGAAAACAGTTACACTTTACTGTGCTAAAGTATCAAAGTGATTTAAAATTAAAATATGCTACAAATGATCTCCCCTTTCCCCAACATCTTCTTCTCATTAGCTTATTTTTCCTTAGTAAACATGAGGTTTTTCCTTGTCCTGGGTCTAGTTGCTGTGTTACCTTTGACATGGCGCCTTTGAGCCCCAGTCCTAGAACTAACAGGGTGCTACGTAGGACCCAGATTCGTGGGTTCCCCTGGGACCCAGGAACCTGCATGTTGTCAGGCTCCTCAAACTCCCCTCTTGCACACTACAGTTTGAGTCTAAAGTATTTCAGCTCTGGACAGAAAACTGCTAATAAGAACCTCTATAAAAGCCACCGTACAACTGGGGAGAACATGCCTAAATTCACCAAACAAACGTGTGTCCACTGTGTCCCTACTTTGTGCTATTCAGCTGAGCCGCGGGGTCCTGTGAGCGAGGACGTGGACTGGATGGAAGAGTGAGCAGTGGGTTTGATGTGAAATCCAGCTCCAGTGTTTACTAAGCGAATGACCCAGAGTTCCTTTCCTTAACTGCCCAACGTCGTCGTAAAGAACGAATGCAGTGTGGTAAACTAAACCTTTCTAAATGATAAACAGCTACACAGAAGTAGGAGATTTGTAACACATTTCCTGGACGCATTAAAAGAATCTGACGGTTTACTGATTTGTATTTTGTGAATGTAAGTTCTGTGAAGGCAGGAATGTCGTGCCTTGTTCAGTTTGGGCACACGGTCCACACTCATAATTGTGCAGCTCTGACTTTATAGACTATTACCAGTACCTCCAGTGAAAGACCTCTTTTAGGAAATCAGATTAATTAGGTGATGTCTCAATTATATTTGATTATTCTCAAAGGGCACTTCATGTTTAGAAGACACAAAAAGAAGGTGGTGGTTGTTTTTTTTAACTTCTGTAAGGATCCTTTTTTGATGTGCTACTTGCTCTTAGAATGTTTTAAGAACAATTTGTTAAATTTCCATTCCCAAGTCCCAACATACAGATTATCAAGTGTTAAAGCTGTTTTCAGTGAAACATATAAAAGTGATAACATTTCTATTACATTTTAGAATTTATAAAGCATATTTTTGTATTCTTTTATCCGCACAACTACTTTATGAGGTAAGTTATTCCTTGTATTCAAGAAATAAAACCAAAGTCAGGGAGTCATCCCTGTCATTTTTACTTAGCTTCATATCCAATAATTTAGCTAGAAATTATTCCACAAGTTCCTTATGTTTGACAAGAATCAGACGATCTTTCTACATGGCAGTTTTAAAGAATTCCATACTGTTTATGAAGATTAACACATTCCATGCACACCCACAACTGCATAATTACTATAAATAGCATACATTTTTTTAAAAATGAGACTTCGAGAGTTTAGGATCAGAATAAAGAATTTCCTTCCAGAAAATATAAAAGCATATTACCTCATCCAGGACCAGCGCGATGATACATATTTATACATGAAGATGACGCCGTGAGGTGTTTTTCTGCGATGGTAGGATGGAGGATGTGACTTGTTCCAGCCACATTGTGTCCCCTGGTTCCATCTGAAATGCCTGCAGCTAGTAACAGGCTTGTTGGGGCGTCTCATACAGACTCAACAGAGGCCTAGCCTACAGCTCTGGCTTTAGTGAAGGCCCCATCCTCCTAAGCACAAGATCTGATTTCCCTTCAAAAACTAACTTATGAAAATGTTTACCAGAGGTTTAAAACTGCTTATTTTCAAAGTTACTGAGTTATTTCAAGATAGTGGTTGAGTCCCTAACAAAGTCTTACTCCTTTTATAATTATAATATCACCATCTTTGGTTAAAATCAAAATGATGTTAAGAACTTCTGACAATTAACTTCAAAAAAGGTTATTAACAGCCTCGTAGTTACCATGGAGTCACTACATGACAAAACACAAAGATAATTTTAGGGCCTTGCATGGATCCCAACATCTGGTCCAAATGCACACTTTTCAAATCAAGAGTCAGAGTGTTCTGAGATGCATAATAAGGCTTTAACCCCACACATTCGTTAGTATATCCCAGCATGCTCTTTGTCTTGGCAACTTGTGAAGGAAGTGTTTCCATAGTTTGGAACATCTGGTCTAAAAGGGCAGAGACTTCGGGTTTCTAGAGAACAAGGTGAGCCATCCTGAGGGAATAACTTAATTCTGACCTGAACCAAGAGGTAACCAAGAGAAAGAGTGTTACTATTCCAGTGACTTAATATCTCAGTGTTTAGATTTTAGAACCTTTAGGTTTTCAAATTTAGAATTTTTTTTTTTTTTTTTTTTGAGGGAGAGAGAGGGAGGGAGAGCAAGTGAGCAAGCAGGGGAGGGGCAGAGGGAGAGAAAAAAGTCTCCAGCAACTGAAAGCCCAGTGTGGAGCCCTACGTGGGGCTTGATCCCATGACCCTGAGATCATGACCTGAGCCGAAATCAAGAGTCGGACACTTAACCGACTGAGCCACCCAGGCACTCCCAGTATCTTACACTTTGATTCTTTAGAGATTACCATGGATAGGAAAATCCTACAAATCTTAAGCTCAAGACCCCTGAAAACAAAAATAGGGAGGGGAGGTGGCTAGGGAAGAAAGAATACAGATATATTTTATTTCCTCCATTTTGTGCTCTTCTGTTCTCTTGTCAAGGGCAGGAGCAGGGACAAAGTTTGAGAAGAAATCCGGCTGAGGAGAAAAAGGCCGGCTGGGTTTAGAAGCCGGGGCCAGTTCTTCCTCCCTTCCTCCAGCACCAGCAAGGTCTGCCTGCTGACTCAGGGCAGAAGTACAGACACGCTCCTCAGTGCCCACCTCCCCTCACTGTTCTTCCCTGCCACCCACGTTTGCAAGATGGCCCAGGAATTTAAAGCCCTTCAACCCGCTAAGACCTGTTCCTTTACACAACTCCTCACCTTCCCAGTTGCAGCAGCTTATTAACATGAGGCAGTGTCCTTTTTTGATTTTTGGTTTTGTAGTTGATATACCACGTTCGAGGAGTTTCAGGTGTCAACACAGATGTCTGATAATTCCGTACAGGACGCACCGTGCACCACAGTGAGCGTAGGCAGCATCGTCGTCACTGTCACTTCAGCATTACCGGCTATACGCCCTGGGCTTCAGGGCTCTCTCTCTTACCTGATGCCAGCAATGTGTACGAGGCATGCAGGACGCTTCATCCGTAGTAGGAGTTTTCATCTTAAAACGGGCACTAATGCCTGGATGCGGCAGAAAGTGCGCTGGATCTGGGGCTTCAAGGCTTTGGTGTTCTATGTAGCTCTGCCTCGTGTTAGATGTGTTTTCTCCATTTTAAAATAGAAAATACCTCTTCAGGGGCGCCTGGGTGGCTCAGTCGTTGAGCGTCTGCCTTTGGCTTGGGTCGTGATCCCGGGGGCCTGGGATCGAGCCCCGCGTCGGGCTCCCCGCTCCGCGGGAGGTCTGTTCCTCCCTCTCCCTCTGCCCCTGTTCCTGTACTGTCCCTCTCTTGCTCACTCTCTCAAATAAATAATCTTTAAAAAAAGAAAAGAAGATGCTTCTTCACAGTCTTGTTGCAGGAGTGAAATAAGATAATACAAGTGAAAGTTCTAGTGACCTTACCGTCTGGCACCTAACAATAAATGTTAGATGAATTTCAAGGCCTAACTGGTGGGAAGTACAAAAAAGTGTATGGAGGCAGAAGGAAAGAGAAGCTGGCTTCTCGCAGAACATGTTCAGCTGCTTCCTTCAAATTCATTTCCTTCTAGCCTGGCCTCTGAGGAGGTAATAAAAACGAAATGTTGGTACTGCAGGTGGCTATGCCCTGAAAGCTCGCCCTCCCTTCCCCTTTTCTGTAAGCATCTTGGCACCTTACTGAAGTTCAGCAAAGAAAGAACAGAGTGTGGATTACACAGTGAACCACAAATATCTGAAACCTGGAATCATAAATCCATATATTGGGAAAACAAAACTAGGAGAGCTATTTTCAACCTAAGTGGTAGGTAGGTTACCTTTGAGGTTGCTGGTCGCCATCTTACCAACTTGTGGAGTGATCCCAACTATGCCCTGATGGTACTGTTTGACTCACTGGATGCAGCTGACTGACCTGATCAGATCTACTCTTGAACTTCTTGGTTTGTGACCTAATATTCTCTTCCTTGGTTGAAGCTATTTTGAACTGGGGAACTTTCAATTGCATTCAAGAGACCCAAGCATAAGCGAATTATAGCCACCACTAATGAATCTGATTTGGCTAATGTTCAACACACACCATGCTTACTATTTAAATGTGGACAGCAGTTCCAAGACAGTGTTTTATCAATAAAAGTAAGAAAACACTGAGTCAGCGAATATCCTCTAGAAACTTCATGCGAAGTCGATCATGATGTTACTGCCACCACTATCATTTGGCTTTGCCAGCAAAACCTTCCCCGTGCCTTAAAACAAAGAAGAAATGTGCACAAAATTCACAAGATTATTTTACTAGAATTTATGGGGAGAAGATAATGTAGTCAAGTTTCCACAAGGAAGATCTTCACGTTGAACTCCAGCCAAAGAAAAGAAAATTCAAGTTCTGCTTTCAGTCCCAACTGGCCTGGGCACTGAAGCAATGCCCCCTTCTCTTGGCATGCACCTGTCAAGGGGTCAGTTTTGTGTGCACCTTTTCATGCCCCTTGACCCTCTGCATCATGGCTCCACGACCCCAGGCATGAATTCTGAAAACCTTCTTCCATTTCTGTGGTTTTCCTCATCCAGCTGAGGATGCTGCTGGCTACCCCCAAAACGTCACCAACCGTACGCTCTGGTCCATACAGCTTTCTTCTTAAACTCTGGGAGAACTCGCAAGGACAACAGGGTAGCTAAGGGGACAAAAAAAGTAAAGTGCACTGTTGCATTTGGTGAAACTGCATTTGAAAAGGTCACTTAGATGGAAAACGTGTCAGAACAGAACTTGGCTTTTTCTTACTTGGCTCATCTTCAAGACTAAGAATTCTCATCAAGCCTTAGGCAGAATTTGAATAGTAGAGCACGATTAATAAAATCTGGAGGAAAGGGTTTCTTTGTTGTTAAGTTATTCTGCAACCAGTTAACAGAAAATTTGGCAGAGTTTAACAAAAATTGCCTTCTGGGATGATTTTTTTTCTTCTCTTCATCTGGGTGATGATTACATAGGTGTATTCCCTTTGTAAAAAAGCTGCTTAACGATTTGTGTATTTTTCTACATGAATATGACTTTTCCATCAGATGTTTAGTTGAAAGGTAAGAAACAAAAATAAAAAACTGATCCTGCAATGAAGTTAGGTCCTCGTTGCTCAATGGAGCCGGCGTGACTGTGCTAATCTGTATTCAACTATGTGCTCACAAGTCCACACCTTTTCTTATTCATCACGGGTCTCTCAGGGATCAATTTAGAGTAGGGCAGCTCTGTGTAATTCCTCTAGGTCACTTATTATAGATCTTATTTTAGGATATTAATATAAATATATCGAGATGTTATTTAAAATATAATAGGGAGGAAATGTAGGGAAGCCAGTTACACAGTTCTTCTGTGTGACTCTGATAAGCCCTTGACTATCTAATCAAGTGAACATGTACTTCCTTGACCCAAATAACTATTCTCCTCATCAGTATCAAGTTGTTTGCTATCTTCATGACCTAAAACAGTGTATGTTTGGAGCAACCAATGGTATTATAGACCCATGGCCATTAAGAATGAGTTCAAGCTTCCTGAGGCAAACAAATGAAGACAATCCTAGCAAGTCTCTAGGGACGGATCAAGTAAACGTATGTCAGACCACTGCCCTTACGCCTAGTGAAGTTCTGTGCTTGATCACAATCCACTTCCTACACACGCCCTTTGCATATGTGGTGGGGAGGGGGAGTAGGGAGAAGGATCAGAACCAACTGATTAGGGAATTCTTACTTGTTTGGCCACCAACAAATTGTATCATACTAAGAGTAAAATATGGTCATGCTAAGACTCCAGGCAGGCCAGATAAATTATCACAAGTGTAAGCCAGAGAGGTGATTTTCCCAAGCCGAGCCTTCCCAGTGCATTATCTTACAGTGTGTCAGGGACCATCTCGACAGAAGCCATTGGCTGGACCAGACCCCCGAGTCCTGAGACACAAAAGACGGTACAAGGTGTCTCAGGCCACAGAAACAACGCCCGACGGACGTCTCAGGTTTGAGTAAAATAATGTACGTAATTTTCACAGAAAGATATTCTCTATTTGTGGTTCCCACAGTCATAGTTCAACAAGTTAGTAGAGAAGTATAAAAAACACAAGAACTATTTAAACGCCTGAAAGCATGGGAAACGTCCAGTTCCCTTGGCAAAATACTATGTCACTACTACAAATACTATTAACGAAGCCAAAACAGGGATAGGTTAAAACGCTTTAAACATAATTTTTAAATAAAAAAGGCAGTGCTCAAAGTGTCTATGTGTATTTTTTCAGTTGCTCAATGATTATAAGTGTGTTAGAACAACACTCATATGCAGAGGGGGCAAATACTTCTTAGGAAAAAAATAATCAAAACTGCCACTGGGCAATGGGACTCTGGCTTCCTCTTTGCTCTTTCTTGAATTTTTTAAACTTTCATTAAAGTGAAAGTTTGCCGTCATAATAAAACATTTAAAAGCTATTTAAAAGCGAAATTTAAAGGCATGGAACTCTTTTTAAATCCACTTTCTACTTCAAAATGCCACATAATGACAGTTCCAGATTACTTCTCCACACTGAATTCAGATGAGCCCTTCGGGAGCCAATACACACGAGAATGCTGCTTCTTTAGCGAAGGCAGCCATGGACGGCTTTCACCTATGTTGGGCATGTGGTATGGAAGTCCTACCTTTCAAAAGATCCCTGGATTTCGCGGAGAGGCCTTCTTTAGGGCTTTCCATGATGCTCAAGAGCCAGTCAATGAACTAGGGCGAAAAGGAAGAGCAGTTATCAGTGAAGACAGTCCCACTATTAGTAAAAGAGCAACCCGGCCCTTAGGCCTGCATACATGCATCTCAGTGCAGGGCTGGCAGATGGAGATGAGAAGGGGACCAGGCCTAAGAGATGGGGAAGCTGGACACAGCTCCCATTTAGTCCAATGACCCAGCAAAGTCAAAACTCCTCTCCCGGCTAAATACCCTGAGACCTGCTATGGATTTTAACGGGGAGGTAGACATGGGCTCAGCAGGCCTCCAGTGTGCCATGAACTTTCTCTCTCATCACTCCGAGAGCACCACAGAGGTTAAGAACCTTGCCCAAGTGCACTCCCAATGAATGGCAGAGTCCAGATTTCAAGCCAATTCAGAGCCTCGTGCTCCTCCTTTGCATCCTGCTGCCTGATGCTGCGTGCACCTAGGCCCAGGCTCACAGGGCAGGTAGTAAATAGGGAAACACATCAGACATAAGCCCCCATTTCTAAAATCAGATATTCTGTAGATGAGAACAATTTGTGCCCAAATGGAATTGAAACAGGAAGTTGAAATGCAAGAGAAAGGCATCAAACAATTTACTAGGTACAGCCGGGTATGTTAACTGCAAATAAATTCTACAAATGAGGTAGAAACTCAGACTACTCAGGAGTTTGACTGATCTCCCAGGGTACAGCCAAAATCGTTTTTATATTAGATAGAGGGTAATTTCATTAATGACTGAATGTTGCCAATCTCGACTCACTAAAAAACATGTACATTAGTCAGAGGTACTAGGTATTTTAACTTTGGACGTAGAAACTGGCTTGTAAGAAAGAGTCAGATAGAAAGCAAATAATCCTAATTCTCTGTTTTGATTAAATTTTTTTTTATTTTTTATTTATTTATTTTTTAAAGATTTTATTTATTTGACAGAGAGAGATACAGCAAGAGAGGGAACACAAGCAGGGGCAGAGGGAGAAGCAGGCTTCCCACCAGGCAGGGAGCCCGATGCGGGGCTCGATCCTAGGACCCCGGGATCATGACCTGAGCCAAAGGCAGACGCTTAATGACTAAGCCACCCAGGTACCCCCTGTCAGCACTTTTGTTCCCAGAGAAATCTGAAGATCCTGCCCTTCCAGCACACAATCTAAGACTAGTCTGTAAATTTCCGTGACACATACCCCAGGCACTTTTCAAACTGCTGCTTCTGCACTGTGTCTCCGCCAAGTTACTTATTATGCTGGGTTCGTAAGTGTGGGGACTCAGTTTCCTATTCCCCTCTGACTCTCCTGGCATTAAGCCTCCTGATTTTTAACATTCCTGGAGTTAAGCGCCACTGATTTTTTTTTTTTTTAATTGAAGTATAGGTGACAATTTTTACAGTAGTTTCAGGTATACAACATAGTGATTCAACAACTCTGTTATGCTGTGCTCACCACAAGTGTAGCTACCGTCTCTTACCATACAACACTGTTACAGTGCTATTGATTATATTCCTTATCCTGTAGCTTTTAGCCCTGTGACTCATTGATTCCATAATGAAACTTTTATCTCCCACTCCCCTTCACCCATTTTGCCCAAGCCCCCCACCCCATCCTTTGTAGCAACCATCAAGTCTCTGTATTTATGGGTCTGTCTGCTTTTTGTGCTTTTGTTTTTTAGATTCCATAAATAAGTGAAACCGTATGTCTTTTGTCTTTTTGTGTCTTATTTTACTTAGTGTAATACTCTCTAGGTCCCTCCATGTTCTTGCAAATGGTAAGATCTCCTTTTTTTATGGCTAAGTAATATTCTGTTGTGTGTATGTGTATATACACACACCACACATCTTTACTCAACTCTTGATGGACGCTTGGATTGCTTCCATATCTTGGCTATTGTAAATCATGCTGCAATAAACAGATGCATATATCTCCTTGAATTAATGTTTTTGTTTTCTTTGGGTAAATATCCAGTTTTGGAAATACTGGATCATATGGTATTTCTATATTTGATTTTTTTTTTTTTTTAAACCTCCTTACTGTTTTTCACAGTGACTGCACCCATTTACATTCCTACCAATAGTGCAAGCAAGAGGGTTTCGTTTTCTCCACATCCTTACCAAAACTTGTTACTTTTCTTTTTGATACTAGCCATCCTGACAAGTGTGAGGTAATATCTCATTGTGATTTTGATTTGCATTTCTGAGATGATTAGTGATGTTGAGCATCTGTATGTCTTCGGAGAAATGCATGTTCGTATCTTCTGCACATTTTCAGATTGAATTGTGTTTTTGGTGTTGTATAAATTCTTCATATATTTTGAATATTAATGCCTTCTAAGATAAATAATTTGCAAATATCTTCTCCCACTCAGTAGGTTGCCTTTCTGTTTTGTTGGTTTCCTTTACTGTGTAAAATTTTATTTTGGTATAGTCCCAATAGTTTAATATTGCTTTTGCTTCCCTTTCCTGAGGAGACCTATCCATAAATCTGTTGCTAAGGGAGATATCCAAGACTGTACTGCCTGTTTTCTTCTAGGAGACTTATGGTTTCCTGTTTACATTTAGGTCTTTAATCCATTGAGTTTATTTTTGGGTATGATATAAGAAAGAAGTCCAGTTTTTCTTTTGAATGTGGCTATTCAGTTTTCCCAGCATCATTTATTGAAGAGACTGCCTTTTCCCCATTGTATATTCTTGCCTTCTTTGTTATGACAAGATACATAGGCATGGGTTTATTTCTTGGTTCTCTATCC